ACAGAACGAAGAAAGTTTAAACAATTCGTTTTGTATACGATTCAATTTAGTTTGCGTGTGATTCAATTTATTTTTTATATGATTCAATTCATTTTGTATGTGATTCAATTCATTTTGTACGCGATTCAATTCATTTTGTATGTGATTCAATTAATCTTACACGTAATTCAATTCATTTTGTATGTGATTCAATTCATTTTGTATGTGATTCAATTCATTTTACACGTGATTCAATTCATTTTACACCTGATTCAATTCATTTTACACGTGATTCAATTAATTTCACACAAGATTCGAGTCATTTTATACGCGATTCGTCTTATATCAAAAGCTTGTCGCTCGTGCAACGGTTACGCTTTTAATAATCTCTTCAATCTAAACTTCATGAACATAAAAGTCATCTTGCAACACGATACAACAAATTTTATCAGTGTCTCAGAGTCGTCGCTCGAGTGCAACGGGTAAAAAACAAGGGAATAAAATCTCCGCAACCGTTAAATACCAGTCTGATCTCGCCGTTTCGCCGAGAAGTGTCCTCGACCGCCGATTAAAACCGGGGCAAAGGGGCGGAAAGTGGACACAAAGGGTCGGTAAACAGCGTCGACGTCGCCGTTGCGTTTGAGCCGGCGCTGCAACATTGTTGCGATTCCTCGCATTCGACAGATAAACGCGGCAGGTAATCCCCGGGCCTACAAGCCCGCTTCCCGCGGCGGCATTCTCTGTAAAATAAACAGCGAGGGGGGGTGAAATAATGGAACAGGGGCCGAACGGTAACGGGGTAACGTCGATAAAGCCTCCGATGAAAAGGCCAATCGTCGGAGCGCGGGTCCAAGGAAGAAATTCTCCGGGTTCGTAAATGCCAACTCGTATTTCCCATCAGGCTCTCTCCTCCGCCAATCGGCGAACACTTAAATTGACTAAACCCGTTCCCTACCCCCGGCAGATCGCCCCCCGCGACCGGACCCCGCGCGATCCTTCCGCTCTATTCAGTCTCCGCCGGTTTCCAGGACAGAAAATATTGGGTTTGCGCACGTGAAACTGTCGTTTCGAATCGGACAGTTTAAACGAGGAAAAAGTATATTATTAGGTTGCCAAGAAACTCTCGTCGTCCCCCCCACCCTCGTGACCATTGTCTTGGAAAGGTATTTGTTGCGAGACAGAGGAGCACAGCATCGTCCTTGGAAGCACGAACCGTCCCTTTCAACGACTTCCGTTCGTCCAGCGGCTCATTTCTCCGTCTTATTTTTCGGCCATCTTATAGCGCGGGGGTGGCCAAACTTTTGATCGTTACGGGCGACCGGTTTTTTTTTTTTTTAAATTATAGACGATGGAGAAGTGGAATTTTTATTTTTATTTCAGAGTTTCGTATTGTAATTTTAGAGTTTTATTTTAATTTTTATTAATAAGGAAAGCAGTAATTTTTATGGAAAAGTAGAATTTTTATTTTAATTTCGAAGTTCAGTATTGTAATTTCAAAATTTTATTTTAATTTTCATTAATAAGGTTTGATGAAAATATTATTTGATGGAAAAGTAGAATTTTTAGTTTAATTTGAGAGCTTAGTGTTTTAATTTTAGAATTTTACTTTAATTTCTATTAATATAAAAAATAGCAATTTAACGCCAAGAATAAGTTTAAATTTAATATAAACATAGATAATAGAAAGGACGAAATGGAGGAAGAAATAAAAAAGCAGTCATTCTGACTAAAATATGTCTTTTGACGTATTTTCGTAAAAATAGCGTTCGCAATTGTTCAATATTTTTGTTCTTGTCGAATGTCTGTTAGCAACAAATATTGCAGAATTTTTACGTCGCAGAATGTTATTATTTATTCTTATATATTATTATCATCGGTAATAACATTCCTCTTCGTTCTGCAACACCGGTCGCCATTATTGAACATCCAAAACAGCAGAAGGAAGATTTAGATATATTTTTGGATCATCTATTAATATAAACCTGATAAACAATAAATCAAAACTCGGACGTATAAAGCTGTCTAAATTTTCTACGTTCGGTCGCGTTTAAATCCATTCGCCGAATTTGCGCTTTGTGTTGCAAAGGGTTTATGATTAATTGCGTTTGCTCCATTAATTGCCCCGGCCGGAACTTCCTAGAAATTAGGCTAATGTATTTGCGAACTCTTTCTTACACGCGTTTCTCAATACAAGTTGGTTATTCGGCGATTAATTTTCCGTACATTCCGGCTAAACGTTGCCTTTTTGGATCAAACTTGCAATGTGCTTTTTGCGACTCTATTGTTCCTGAACTGTTGGTCTCTGGGAACGTTCTGGTCACATTTTGAACTAAATGGTACAATTAATGAAACAAAAATAAATTGACATTTAGCTGTTTTCGTCGAGAAACTTTTTGATTTGAAAACGTTAAATCATTACATACTTCAAATACAATATTAAATCGAAATAGAATATTAGATCAAAATAGAATATTATATCGAAATAAAAAATATTAAATCAAAATAGAATATTAAATCGAAATATAATATTAAATCGAATTATAATATTAAATCGAAATAGAATATGAAATCAAAATAGAATATTATATCGAAATAGAATATTATATCGAAATAGAATATTAAATCAAAATATAATATTAAATCGAATTATAATATTAAATCGAATTATAATATTAAATCGAAATAGAATATGAAATCAAAATAGAATATTATATCAAAATAGAATATTATATCGAAATAGAATATTAAATCAAAATATAATATTAAATCGAATTATAATATTAAATCGAATTATAATATTAAATCGAAATAGAATATGAAATCAAAATAGAATATTATATCAAAATAGAATATTATATCGAAATAGAATATTAAATCAAAATATAATATTAAATCGAATTATAATATTAAATCGAAATATAATATTAAATCGAATTATAATATTAAATCGAAATAGAATATTAAATCAAAATAGAATATTATATCGAAATAGAATATTAAATCAAAATAGAATATTAAATCGAAACATAACATTTAATCGAAATTTAACATTAAATCAAAATAAGATATTAAATCGAAATATAACATTAAACCAAACCATAGCATTAAATCAAAAAATCAACCATATAAAAATAAAGCCGCTTTTAATTACCCAAATCGAATGTACTTCGAAAAACAGGTTGCGCTGAAAAACAGAATAAAACGAGCAACATTTACATCGTCGGAGCACCAACGTAAAAAAGACTTATTTCGAAAAAATTCCGGGACTAATAACGGAGCCCGATAAATCGTCGACGAAAGTAACGTGGCACACGTGTGCGATGGGCAATTTCACATGCAGAAACCCAATATTTTTCGCCGGTGGACAGGGGCGAGAGAAAAGTTTCGTTTCCCAATTGTCCCCGCAGTCGATAAACGAGTCGATTATATCGAGAGTAATACGCAAACACGACGATCCACCGAACCGGGAGAGAGAAAGAGAGAGAGAGAAAGAGAGGGAGAGAGAGGGGTGGAAAAAGGATGATCGGTGGACAGGGGGGCGGAGCGGAGGTGGATGGAAAAACAAAGGAAAAAGTAGCGGGCAGCGGAAGTCGTCGATGTGAAATAATAGGAAGCAACGCTGCAATTGGAAAGTAATTAAAATCCCATCAAGCCGTCTCGAACTCCTGTTACCGGGGCCGCGTAACTGCCTCCGATAGAATTAGCTTTTCGATTCTCATTATTTAGAGAAATTGCGACGCACCTCCGCTTTTCCGGCTCATCTGTGTTCGACGTTGTATCGAGCTCTGATTCTCTGTTGCCTCGTCCCGTCCTTTCTCACGAAAGAGAGAGAGAGAGAGAGAGAGAGAGAGAGAGAGAGAGCGAACGAGCGAGAAAAAGAGAGAGAGAGAGAGCTGGGAATTTGATAATTAAAAGTCTGAAACGCTGAATTATTACGTTCAGTCGTGGACAAGTTTCGCGCTGCTTTATTCGAATCGCTGTCCCTCCGTAACAGTTTATAATTAAGGGTGCTTTATTACACGTTTACCGGCATAATGAATGGGCAGTTTCTATTTATTTGTTGTAAACGATGTTTCCCCCGAACGTTCATTTACCTTGACCGTTCGCGAATTCATTTTCGGCCGATACGTTCGATCCTGGCAAGGCGATATTTACGTAGCTTCTGATATCCGCGGATTTTTCACTCGATATTAATCCTTCTTTCTCTCTCTACGTCGCATTCAATTTTTTGCAGCCGATGTAAAATATTAAAACGTCTCCGAAAAAAACGAAATAACTTCTCGCAGGTTTCATTCATCCGAAGGATGAATTAAATACTTTCACGGATCAAGATTTACGGTTATAAAATGATAAAAAATTTCTTTAGAAACGATTATTTATAAAATTGCGTTCCATCTTTAAATTTAATACGAACTTCGTCACAAATAATTACAAATAAGCGAATTTCATTTAGAAAAAACTGAACACGAGCCACGAGACACGATTCATTTTTATTTTGTAAAATGGCGAACGAGGTATACGGAAGGATTCATTTTGCGTACAAAATCTGTACGAACCGATTACAATGTTAAAAAATATATAAATATTATATAAATATTATATGAATATTATATAAATATTATATAAATATTATATAAATATTATATAAATGAATATTATATGAATATTATATAAATATTATATAAATATTATATAAATGTTATATGAATATTATATAAATATTATATGAATATTATATAAATATTCTACGATCATAATGCAATTACAATTGAAAATATGATCACCGGACGATTCGAATAGCGAGAATTTCGCGTAGTATTTAAGCGTTCGAAGCGGAATATCTGCGAACAATTAAGAGTCGAAAGAAGTGTCAGCTATTCGTTGCTCGTCGAATGCGCCCCGTAATCCGGAATCGTCTGAATAATTTTAAATTCGCCGGAACAACACCGATGTCCGTGCGCTCGCGCGTCGAATTTTCCACCGAATGGCTGCAGAATGTCGGAATTTCGTGAAATTTTCAGACAACCCGATGGTGAACACGGACTACCCGGTTAGGAACTACACGACGGTGCAATACACCCAGCCAGCGGCCGCCATTTCGCCATTATCAAAATCTACCAGGCATCTGCTGGTGCCGGAACCGGATCCACGCTATTATTACACTCACCGGGCCCATCAGGAAACCATCTCGATCGACAGAGACAATTTAAAACACGGTAAAAGCCCCTGTTTTCAATTACCGAGCCCGTTTTCACGGTACATTTAATAGCCGGAGTGCTTCAATATTGATATTTGCCCGGCAAGGGAAAGTCTTGCTCTCTTTATTTACTTCGCCGCGTTAATCCTCGCCAGTCCCCGCGTAATTCTACGATTGACGGACGCATTAATGAACGTTGTTGTCGAAAGAAAAGCGATTTTGTTCCGCGCTGATCTCCGCCGGCTTCTTACGCCCCCCGCGCGGATTCTTCGTTTCGATGACACTATTCGCCAGTTTGCCGGATGACCAATGAACCCAATCGGTCCCTAAATGTCCGGATATATGTACAGAAATCTCAGACGAATAATAGGTCGATTTATTTTTGCATAAAACTCATATCGGTCTCGCGGTTCTCCATCGCTTAAACAATTATCGTTTCCAAGCTTTCTAGTAACAATGTTTCTGTCTAATTTGTATCCTATTTCTTTAATTAGTTCGTCGCGTCAGTTGGACACATTTCATTCGATTTAATTAGAACAAAATTTGAACGAGGTGAAGAACGATGACAATTTCGAACGAAATAAAAAGAATGGTCGAATACAGGGTGTCCCAAAAATGTCTCTCAATCTGGAAGGAATCTCAGGAACCTCGGGAACCTCTCATTATCGGATTACGAGACATTTTTTAGACACTCTGTATATACGACTCGAGAAAAGTATATCTATTTTATTTGTATATTTTGCCAAAGAATAATATACGTACTAATTTTTGCAGTCGTTCCACTCGTTTAATAATCTTTATTATTCACTTGCATTTCCATTAATCCAGCAAGTGTCTCACAACTTGCCAAAACCTCGCAAAAATGATTTTACATCCAATAATTCCGCTTTGTCCATCGTTCGATCGCCGTGGCCGTCACTTTCGAATAGATTAACGAAAGCGGAATACCTTATCGCCCTAATCGTCTTAAAATAGACTATTATTACCTCCATTGACACGTAATCTGTGCTGTGATAATCCGTGACGCCCGGAGCCCACGAAATTAACGGAGAACACGTTTTCATCGGGCGCGTTACCTTCCGCGGCAGTCGGCAGCTTCGTAACTCGTTCGCGATAACATTCTCGGCGTAACGTAATTAATAGTTCGAAATAGCGACGGATATCCCGACAACGATCTCTGGGCGAACGCTCGCGCTCGCGCGCGTGTGCACGCGCGCCCCGCTTCGAATAGTGCGCTACTCTCTAAATCCGCTTTGCGGTTAATTCTGGATCAGCTCGACGTCGCCGATATCGGATCGATATTGTTACGGACGCGACACGGTCTCCTTGTCGAAAGTGGGGAACGGCTCGTCGGCTCGACGATTTATCGTTAACGAAACGGCTTTCCAGGCGCGGCAGCCGCTTACAGACCGACCCCGGCGACAATCCGCGTGGTCACCGCTTTGCTCGGTGATCTCTGCACCGACGACAAGGACTGCACCATCCCGAACAGCGAATGCTCGAACGGCGGGTGCATCTGCTCCGAGGGCTATGCCGAGACCAGCGACAGACAGGAATGCTTTGGTGAGTGTAAAAAAGCAACTAGAAGTGTGAACGATTACAGACTCGTGGTAACTTGGACATTTTTAGCGACGTTTGCACGAAAGCTTAACGATTTGGAGTATTTATATGTTTCTATGTGAAAAATATTATTATATTCGAATTTTAATGTGTGATTTGCATTATTGTTTTGATACATAGTACAATATATTACATATTGTACAATATTATAATATATAATGTATATTGTAATATATTATACATTGTAATGTAATATAATATCGTATATATTGTTACTATACCATTATTTTAATATATATTATAATATATTATATATTATACATTATACATTGTAATATAATATAATATTATATATATAGTATTATCTATTATGATATATATATAATATATATTATTATTTTAATATATAATGTATAGAATTATTATTATATTAGAAATATTATTAATTAGTTTCGATTGTAGGACATTGCGAAATTGACATTGTGACAAGATAGTAGAAAATTAGTTTTGATTGTTGGACATTATGAAATTAACGTTGTGACAAGATATTACAAAATTCGTTTTGATTTGGAGAAACTTAGTTTTCATTTTAATTTAATCTAATTGATATATACACGCTAAACGCCCATTTTTTAAATACAGAAAAGAAACATATATTAGAAATAATAAACTGTCATATTAGAAATAATAGAAAATAGAAATACGGTTTTGTATTGGCAAACAAAGATCAGTAACTAAAATATCAAGCCAAATGTCAGTAAAATTGTAAAAGTCACTTCGAGTTTGTAATTCATAATTATTCACAGCACTGAGGGTGCCCTCCTTCAGCAGCGACACCCTGCGTACTTAAAAAGAGAGCTTAACGAAGCATTAAAAAATTGCACCATAAGAGATCCTACTATTCAAAAGTACAACGTAAAAACTCCCTTATCGGAACATCCATTTTTACAATATTCCTTTATACATATAATCGAATAAAATCGTTAAACAATAGAACGTTTCGCTACTGTTCTCGCGCGAGAAGAAAGCACCATTGCGTCTCCATCCCCCCTCCCGCCAACTGTCTCACTGCCGCAGCTCGTAAGAGGGGGAACTAAACACGAAGGCGCGTCCCTCTCGCGTGCCAAGATCATTTTATCACCAGAACATTACAAAAATAAACCTTCGGATACAAGATCCTCCATCGTATCGTAACACACTGTTGCAAGCCCCCATTTGCATTAACAAATGAACGCATATCCCGCGACCGCGATCAACTGGAGGGAACATTTAAACGAACGTTTTTTTATCACACGTCGCGCACCGCCCATTGTTTCCATGGAAGGTAAGCCAGAGAGCAGTGGTCTGGCCGCAAATCAAGCGGTCGAGACGCTCGTAAAGATAGAGCGAATAATAAATAATATCTTTGCTTCGTGTTGGTAGTTACTAAAAAGCTACGACTATCTTATTCGGGGCTGGATCGCGGTGCCGGTGCCGTAAAAGGGAGCGGAATAAAGGCTGCGCGCGCGCTCCCGCGGTTTGTTATTCAGAGAGGCCGCGCGGTCTGCAGTTAAGATTAAGAAACCGCTTCCTGGAACAGCCGGAACGTTCGATGTTCCCGGATCGTTCCGAGGAGGAGGGGGACGGCGAACGCAGGAGCGTATCTAATTAACCTGTTTCCAGCTAATTACGTGCCGGTCACACCGACCGAAGAATTTCGTGCCTGCCTGTCGTATCCGTGTCACGCGACATCGACCTGCATCGATCTGCCGAGCGCGACGTTCGTCTGTATCTGCCGGCCGAATTACACCGGGCTATTATGCGACGAGGAGATCAACAAAAGGGATTACGAGGTGCCGTCGTTCGACGGGAAGAGCTACGTAAGGATGAGCCGGCTGAAAGCTTACCACAAGTTCAGCGTCGAGGTGGAGTTCAAGACGTACGCCGACAATGGGATTATACTTTACAACCAACAGAAGAGCGACGGAACCGGGGATTTCGTGTCGTTGGCCATCGTCGACGGGTACGTATACTTGCCGGAGAACCGTACTCACCTCCTTCCCACGGGCAGGGTGAACCGTCGTGGTTTTTAATACAATCAGATGTCACAGAATTTGTGATGAATTTAGCGCGACCTTTTTATTCGTGACTAGCTAAGATTTAATATCTTAAGAAATATCGTCGTTTCGTTCAATTTAATATTGATGGTAATTTGAAATAATAATATAATAATTACATAATAATATAATATATATATATATATTATATTATTATTTCAAATTACCATCAATATTAATAGAAATATTATTATTAATAGAAATATAATATATATTATATTTCTAATATAATATAAATAATAATATAATGTTGATAGAAATTTAAAATTACGTAGTGATCGATTATGAGAATAATAATATAATTATGTTATAAAAGAATTCAATTTGCAGCCCCAGTAAATCTGTATCATTTTAGTTAAATTCATCCGAAAGAAAAATTTATATAATTATATATTACATATTGATAAATTAGTAGAGACACTGACAGACCTGACATAATTAATTTATATCTTTGAATCGACTAATATGCCAACCTTCAATTTTTTCGAAACAACAAAAAATGCACCATCTTCAAAATAAATATTATTTTATATCCATGTACTAAGTCAGTCATCTTAAGACAGTTTTAATGACCCGATATAACAGTTTATGCGCAGCCTATATTTATTAACAATTTATCCCGTAAAATTTCGGACCTCCCCAGAAGAACAAAGACACTTCGAACGAGCCGCTCCGTTACGAAATATGTAAATACGTCAAGGGGTCAGGCGAGGGTAATCATTGCGATAGCGTGGCGTGTATCAGCAGTTCCGTATAATTTCGTTGGACGGCGACATCAAAGTGCCCCATAGCGTAGGGCGAGCGCGTAGTATGTGCCCGATCGTTCCGAAAGCTTGATGGCGCCCGTAGTAAATATCTCGGCGTAACTTCTCTTGCAGGCACGTGCAGTTTCGATACAATTTGGGAAACGGTCTGGTGAATCTAACTTCTCCTGAGAGGGTCACTATGAAAACGTTCCACCGTGTGGCAGCTAAGAGGTACCACAAGGACGGTGTCCTGATTTTCAATGACGGCGAGGACGTAGTCGGTCAGAGCCAGGGAATGCTGAAGTTGCTGGACTTGAACCAGAACACGTACATCGGGAACATGCCCACAAACTTCTCCAAGCAAGTATCTTTTGTGCAAGCTGTTCGAATACGTGAAAATACCGGTCCGCCGCCTAACACGCTCATTTCTGCCAGAAATGTTTTTTAGTCGGAATCGAAACACGCGGATCCGAGAATGCTGAGGCTTGTGGCTTGTTTTTATAGTTGTCGAACGAGAGAGAGAGAGAGAGAGAGAGAGAGAGAACGAAACTACCTGGAAAGGCAGCTGCCAGTATGTCGGTGTACATTACTATGAATACATTGCAATGCTAGGATAAAAACAATGACTTAACTTTTTTATTTTAACTTTTTATACACGAAAATTTGATTATCGTATTGCCGAGATTCTTCCAATTAAAATGAGACCAAACACGACATGCTTTAGTCTATATTTAGTATTCCATATTCAAGTTATATTCAATATCCATATTCAATTACATCGAGATTGATCTTATTTTGAGTAGACGGAAATATTCGTCCAAAGTATGTCATGTTTGGTCTCATTTTAATCAGAAAACTGTCAGCAATATGTCAAAATAGAGATCGGTATTAAAATGTTAAAATTAAAAAAAGTTATGTCATTGTATTATGAGCTGTCTTCCGAGAATTCGAGTCGAAGGACTGAGTTAAGTAAAGTAATAACTTAAGGAAAGGGGACTGAGCTATGGTGTTTACATATTATATACATAACTTAACAATTATTTTAAGTACTCAGCATTAAGATTTAAAAAAATAAAAAAAATATAAAAAATTTAAGGATATTGTTACATTAATATCTTCAACTTGCTACGATTATTCCAATGAGAAAATTAATGTTTCTTTCGCACGAAGACTCCATAAATTACTTTTCATGGAACATTTCAAACAAAATTGATTAAAATACAATTTCTATGTAAATCGAACGCTATGTATAATAATCCTGCATAATAATCCAATATAATAATGTACAATGAAGTATAATAATGTACAATATGTACAACAATCCTACGAATAATCCAATTCTGAATAAACCCTCGAATTTTCCCAGGGTGTACGACAACATCGGCACGAATCACGGTTTCCTCGGCTGCATCCGGATGCTGAAGATCAACAGGAACTTCGTGGACCTGCACGTGGGCCACGACAAGGACATCCTGGAGACCTATCGCGTGAAAGAGTGCGGCGAGAATGCGTGCGCGAATCTGCCGTGCCAGAACGGCGCAACCTGCCAGCCGATCTTCGAAGAGGATCTTTGCGACGGCCGCGAATGCAGGAGGATCGAGAAACACGGGAAGAACGGCAAGGGCAAGAACAGCGTGAACATCGTCCGGTGCAAAGGGTCGCATTGCACCACGATCGATCAGCGTAGATCGAAGAAGAACATGAACAAGCGGTGCGCGACGGCGAAGTGCGACTACGATTACGAGATCGGTTATGAGACCAATTACGAGCACGGCAATTACGCGGTCGAGAAATACGATCCACCGGAATACAGGTGCATCTGCCCGCCGCAGTTCACTGGCCGAAATTGCGAGGAATCGCTGGATCCTTGCATCGGCGAGCCATGCCAGCACGGCGCCACGTGCGATATCCTGCCCCAAGGTGGATACGTCTGCAAATGCACGCCTGGACGGACTGGGGAGCATTGCGAGATTTGTTAGTATTTAATGGTTATAATGATAATGATATTAATGTTAATAATGGTAATAATTGTAATAATTGGTTTAGCGATTAACAGTTTATAACACAGACTTTAGAAATTTGGTTCGAATGGTGTTTTGAATCTATTCTTCGGATACAATTTTATTCGGGAAATAATTCGAATCAATTCTTCGGATACAATTTTATTCGAATAACATTTCGAATCAATTCTTCGGATACGATTTAATTCGGGAAATAATTCGAATCAATTCTTCGGATACAATTTTATTCGGGAAATAATTCGAATCAATTCTTCGGATACAATTTTATTCGAATAACATTTCGAATCAATTCTTCGGATACGATTTAATTCGGGAAATAATTCGAATCAATTCTTCGGATACAATTTTATTCGGGAAATAATTCGAATCAATTCTTCGGATACAATTTTATTCGGGAAATAATTCGAATCAATTCTTCGGATACAATTTTATTCGGGAAATAATTCGAATCAATTCTTCGAATACAATTTTATTCGGGAAATAATTCGAATCAATTCTTCGAATACAATTTTATTCGAGAAATATTTCGAATCAATTCTTCGAATACAATTTTATTCGAATAACATTTCGAATGAATTCGTCGAATACAATTTTATTCGAATAACATATATTAAAATAATCATTATATTAGAAATTTAACTTCAAGTAAAGCCAATATCGTGAACGGTCGTCGATTCGGCCGATCCCGTCTCGCACCTCGTTCGTCATTTACGGTTCCCAATTCGCACTGATTGCAGTGGACGCGGAGCTGACGGAATTGTTGGTACCCGAAATGTCCGGAGATGGTTTTCTGGAGCTGCCGTGCCTGGACGGTGTAGCGAAAGCGTTCTCGATCGAGCTGTGGTTCCTCACCCGCGACCCGGCCGGTTTGCTGCTTTACAATGGCCAACTGAACAACGGCCGTGGTGATTTCATTAGTCTGAACCTGATCCACGGCAGATTGGAGTTCAGATTCAATCTTGGCAGCGGCATCGCTAATATCAGTTCGCCGGATCCGGTTACCCTCGACACCTGGCATTGCGTTCGAATCAGCAGACTCGGCAGAGAAGGTGTTCTCCAATTGGACGACGGGACCGTCGCCAGAGGACTGTCCGGGAGTCCTTTGACGGAGCTGAATTTGCAAATGCCGCTTTACGTTGGAGGCGTCAAGTACGTTCGAAAATGAATCACACGCTCTTAGACACCTGGACACTCGAACAGATTACGCTTTGACCAGCGAGTCACAAGGGACGCAGCTCAGCCGTGTGCTCGATGCTCGACACCGAAATTATATTCTGTAGCGTTGCACTCACGCTTAGTAGACCATGCGGACTCGTTTAGGGGTGGCCGGGGTTGAAAGTGACATTGTAAATCTTTTGCTATGTATTTAAATAGTCATGTGTCAGAATGGCCATATATTGAAATAATCAAATATTAAAATAGTCGTATATTGAAACAGTCATATATTAAAATAATCATATATTAAAATAGTCATATATTGAAATAACCATATATTAAAATTGTCATGTTGAAATAACCATATATTAAAGTAATCATATATTAAAATAGTCATATATTGCAATAGTCATATGTTGAAGTGATCATATATTGAAATAGACATATATTAAAATAGTCATATATTGAAATAACCATATATTAAAGTAATCATATATTAAAATAGTCATATATTGCAATAGTCATATGTTGAAGTGACCATATATTGAATTAACCATATGATAAAATAGTCATATATTAAAATAATCATATACTGAAATAGTCAAATATTAAAACAGTCCTATATTAATATATTAAAATAACTATATATTAAAATATATCAGAACTGTTGTCGCAAACTTGTCACATATTATGCTAAACTACTGCTGCAACGTATACATCTTTACTTGTAATTTCAACAATTAATTTATGGTTCGAATTTGAGAGAGACGTCGAATATGTTACACGTGAAAAATTATTACAGGCATTGGCGAGAGGTTCATCGTCTGGCAGGCGCTTGGAAAGGATTAAACGGTGCAGTTCAAAGGTTGATGGTGAACGGGAAGACGTACCAGAATCTAGCAGTGAACGTTACTCAACACAACACAGAGATTTACGACGGCCCGCCGTGTCCGAGCAACGAGAATCCTTGTCACAATGGTGGAGTGTGTTTACCACTTTTGAATAGCTATCTGTGCAAGTGCGCCAGCGGCTACAATGGCCTCCACTGTGAATTCTGTAAGTTTATCGACTACTCGTGGCACTTCTTTCCTTTTCAACGAATTCTTATACGTTTCTTATGTCTGCTCTTATTCGTGATCATTTTCTTACTTGTGTTAATCGTTTCATTTATATTAATCTTTTCATTTACATTGATCTTATTTATATTAATTAATATTATATATAATATTATATAATTTCAATATTATATATAATATCATATAATTTCAATATTACATACAATGTCATAATAATTAAATATCGCATTGATCTTGACTATTCCATTGCAATTACAAAATTGTTTCTGTTTACTGAATTGTACATGGATATTGAAACAGTGGCTACATTAAATAAATAATACCACATAATCGTTCGATAAAAATTAAAAACGATAAATGTAAGAAAAGATATCAAAAATATATATATATAATTCAGAATATATAAAAAGGTATGATATAATCAGAGAAGAATATAAAATAATTCAAGATATAATTCATATTTATACGAATTACGTTAACACCGTTACACGAATCATGTAAACGTGATTCAGCGAATAACTATAATAAATAATATCGTTTCAGTCATGGGTTACGACGTGTCCACCGAATTGGTCGAGAGGCCGGTCCGCTTCAACGGCGACAACTTCCTGAAGTTTCGACACCGTAACGGAAGAAGGTAAAACGATGCAGGCGTATACATTCATTATCTATTTTGTCCGAAACTCTTCTGTCATATATATTCCTAGACCACCGCCAGCACACCTTTTTTGAGGTATTCCGAACTTAGGGGCACCGAGTTTTTTAGGCTGTCCGATAAGATTTTTAGTAAAAAAAAAAAAAAAGAAAGAAAGAAAAGAAAGAAACGGTAGAACTAATTAGATCCTTACGAACGAAAGTATCACTAACCTTCTGATTGTGTAACACCAACTAGTACTAACTCGACTAACACTACCCTCGGCGAGTACTTTGAGGAGTCCTCCTACTCCGACTACGACTTGGAGGAGGACGTCGACTACGAGTACGACAGTGACGATATCACGGAGTAAGTTTCTAGGAAGAATGGCTGTGGTGTACTCGTTGAAGAGGGAATACGGTGTTTCCCATTGCCCAGTTTATCGTCACGTGCATCGTCCTAGTCGTTTCAACTAGAATGCAAACGGGATGCCCTTCCAATCTGTGCGCACGTTCCTATCTCGCCGAGAATGGAGAGATTGCGCGCTGCATTTTCACGAACATATCGTGCGTCGCTTTTGTGGATTATTCATGACGTTGTCGCAGCAACAATCTTTGATTATCGTTGTTCTACAGAATTAATTGGACAATTTCGCCTAGTAATTTGTATTAGAAGTTCATAAAATTCGTTTTTCATTATTCGCATCTTTTATTTCGCTTAATTGCACCTGGATCGTACAGGGTGTCCCATAATTATGTTAACATCCTAAAGGGGGAGATTCCTTAGGTCATTTGGAGCAATTTTTTCCTTTACAAAAATTTTCTCCGAAGCATCGTTCACGAGTTATTCACGAAAAACGCTGACCAATGAGAGGCGAGCTCTGCTGGCGCGAGACGGCCGCGCCAGCGAGCGGTCGACGCCCAGTTCCGCCGATTGGCTCGACCGCCTAGCGCCAGGCGAGCTCGCCTCTCATTGGTCGCCGTTTTTCGTTGATAACTCGTGAACGAAGCATCGCATTGCATTTTCGCAAAGGAAAAAGTTACTCGAAATGAACTCAGGATCTCCCCTTTCGCAGAGTTAACACAATTACAGGACACCCTGTACGAAACAGGGTAAGGGTAAATTTTAAGTAAAAATAGAAACTAAAAGTCTCTTTCTTGCAAAACGTATCGATTGCTGCGACAGCTAGACGAAACAGATTTGAAGGGCTGACAGTATTATTTTTCATTTGACGTTCTTGTAATGCTTGCCTGTTTGTGTAATGTTCACGTCCCATGGCACAGTAGATCGGTGTCGATCGGCTCGAACGCGACACTGGGTATATCTAATATCGGACGACGGTTTTAGACGCAGGGAACAGCAGTCGAACAAGTTCGAACTTAGACTGAGAACGACGCATCCGGACGGTTTGATCGCTTGGATCGGAAGAGGGAAAGTTGAACATCTCAAGCTGTCGCTGGACGGTGGACAGGTGGTCCTCGAGTACAAGAGCAAAGCCGAGCATGTGTCTCTGATGAGCAGGGTGCGTATTGATTAACGTTAATTGCCGCGCCGTTAACTGTTTCCGTATAACGGAGATGACAAGCGATTGAATGATAATATTTATTATCTATATTATTACATTATTTATTATTATTATATTATTATTATATTATTATTAATATTACTATTAATATTACTATTATATATTATTCTTTATTATATTACATTTACTATAAATTGCAATCGTATTTATAATCAAAAAACCATTACTTCAAACGACTCCTTTAGATCCGCGCAAACAGCAAATAATTATTCTTGTCTGTTCAACTCGGAAATGACAGATAATTTGTTATCTAAATAACCGTATAAATAATGCCAAATTCTTCATACGCTCGATTCAAAATGAAAAATACCGTAGTCAGAAAATCCGCTTCTCCAAATCCAGTTATAAAACGACTTGGAGTTCAAAGGTTTAAACGCTCGGTCCTCAGCTCTCAGCGAGTCCCCTAATAAATAATAATAATAATAATCTCGCGTTTCAGGAGCGCGTGGACGACGGCATGTTCCACCACATCCGCGCGTCGAGGCGGAAGCGCGCGACGACGATACAGATCGACGACCTGAACCCGGTGAAGGTGACGACGGAGGCCACGTTCCTGACGACGAACGGCAAGCTGTTCGTCGGCGGGAAGCCGGACTACCTCGGGATCAGGGGCTGCGTGTCGGACTTCGTGGTGGACAAACGGCGGCTTCAGCTGGCCAGGCGGAAGATCGAGCACTGTCACGACAACGACGTATGATAACGAACCCCGGAAACGACGATCGTCAACGTGACGTCGCCCCCGGCCACCCTCGCCGACTGGACGCCGTCTTTGTCCTCCTCGACGAGTTAGCACCAGCCTAAAAACGTGAACGCTTTCGAGGAAACCCTTTGAGGATGTTCCGTTCCTGACAAACCGGCGGGGAGCGGGGACGAACGGGGGAAAGAGGGAAAGACGAGAGAGAAAGAGCGAGAAAGAGAGAACGAGAGAGAGAGAGAGGGTGAGAAAGGGGGCGACGATCGGGAGGAGTCCGGGGGACGGGAGTCGAAGAGAGAGAGAGAGAGAGAGAGAGAGAGAGAAAGAGAGAGAGTGGAAGCAAGAGATGGCGGACGGTGGCGGAACCGAGGACGGTAGGGCGGTCACGTGATTCCTGCCAAAGTCGTACGAAAGGGAACTCCGAAGTGAGCGACGAATCGTGCCATGCATGGGAAGGATATTTATTTTCGTTCGAGTATAGAATAGTGTAAAATACGGGCGGCCGCCGCGCCCGTCCGGATCGTTCAGCGACCGACCGACCGACCGATCGTCCCAGCGGCGAACGAAGAGGACGGACCTATATAATTAATGGAGCATCGCGTTAAATGCTAACGTTCTCATCGAAGGACAATAATATATTTTTAAGGCGACGAGATTGATATACATATATGAGAATATATATGTATGTAATATTGTATGAATTAAACGCGTATACGTGTAACGGGGCGAAGGGGGTGGGCCTGTGGGCGAGGAGCGGGATCTTTGTGTCGGCACAACAGGAGGAGCAGGGGAAGGAGGGAGGGAACGAGGGGGGGAAAGAACCCGACGAAAGGAAGGTTCGAACGGGGGTACGGGGGACTTATCGGTAATCGTTAGTCGTTACTCTGTAAGTTAATGATATATCGAAGCACCTATAAATGTTTTACGATGCCAAGACTGACTAAAAAGACGAAAAAAAAAGGAAAAAAAGGGTGGGACGGATATAGAGAGAAAGAGAGCGAGCGAGAGAGAGAGACAGAGTGAGAGAGGAAGAGAGAGAGAGAGAGAGAGAGAGAGAATGAAAGGTGGACGCCGCCGCGAGGACGCAGACGCGGCGAATTGCGAGGACGGTACTAAACGGGAAATATTAAAAATGGAAAAAAATACGAAGCGATAAATCGGTGTTATGTTTGAGTGTTTCGGTAGAGAGATTTAACGATCGTGGATTATCAGAATAGAGGAATGTATTTTAAAGGACTTGTTGATTTATGCCAGTAGAGAAAAAAATGAAGTGAATTCAATGAAAAAGACGTACCCAGGTACCCACACGAAAAAAAACACACGCGTCTATACGTACCACACGCAAAAATCAATATATATTATATATATATATATATACATACGAGAAACAGACACACCGTACAACGTTGTTTTTAGGCAGGCCATGGCTTTTTACAAATGCGCAAATGAATAGATATATTATGTATATATATGTATTTATATTTATATATAAAATATATAATATGTATAAATATATATATTTGTGTTTATATATAAAATATATAATATGTATAAATATAAATATGAATATAAATATATATATTTGTATTTATACATAAAATATATAATATGTATAAATATAAATATAAATATAAATATAAATATATATATTTGTATTTATATATAAAATATATAATATATAAATATATATATTCACAACATTTATATATATATTTATAATATTTATATGTATAAATATAAATATATATAAACATAAATATGAATATAAATATATATGTATATGTATACACCACTACACAGATGACATTCCATGCAACGGACACCGCGATCGAGTTCTACGTAGGGTACACGGAGAATATCACGGTCTACGATGTCCTTTCCCGATTCGTTTCGTATGGCAGGCCTCGAAGACACTCCGCTTCCGTTCGACAATCCGCGCGAAATTCAAGAAAAGCGTGCACTGTACCGCACACACACACACGTGCCGAGAAAATCGTTTTCGCGGTCGCGCAATTAGTAGCGTGGTAATCGACACTGATTAATTTTCGAACGATCGAGAATTCCCAGAACTTGAGACTCGTATTATTTGCATTAATAATTATTACGTTAATCGAGACATGCTTTATGGATGACGACCGACTTACCGGTTCATAGTACTCAAATTTAACAATGATATTATTTATTCTTTATACTTCATATTTTCTATGTATTTTTTTTTCTTTTTGTATGTACGTATACCTGAACGCGAAAAACGTGTTACGAAATTGCAATTGATTGCAATTGCGATTGAAATTGCACACGGAACTCCGAGAATAAATTTCGCGCAAAATTTCTCGAAGAATCCGTGGATCGATGCGTTTGTAGCGAGCGCGAACGAATGCACGCGGAAAGTGTCGCGACATGTGTCGACGACTTGTTGCCAGACGAATCTACAGCGAACCGTGCGGTGTGGTGTGCGTCGGTGTACACGTTGCCCAAGACGAATGCTAATTGCGGACCGCCTAAAGATCGTCACCGTAAATATCTTCTTGATACAGGGTTCACGGAACACCGCGATATCGATCCGAGTGCAATCGAGTTAGAATCGGCGAAACGCGAACATGGGCGCGCGATCGTTGCGAACAGCGGCGTCGAATCGTCTCCTCGAGTTGCAGATTATTGCAACCTTTTTTCGTGCTCAGAATTTACTTTCAAGTCGTCATAGCCTCTCGTCGTATTTATTCTACTTATTTTCTGCTTTTCTTCAATTTTGTTCTGTTTAAATAGATGCTTCCAACTCGTTTCTATAATACAGTTATCATTAGACTGCGGATTTTATGCACTTATGGCAAAATTGATTAGCTACTTTCAAGTCACAGTTTATCGTCATATTTATTCTACTTATTTCCTGCTTTCCTACAATTTTGTTCTGTTTAAATAGATGCTTCCAACGTTCCTATAATACAATAATTATTAAACTGCGGATTTTATGCACTTATGGCAAAATTGATTAGCTACTTTCAAGTCACCGTTTATCGTCATATTTATTCTATTTATTTTCTGCTCTTCTCCAATTTTGTTTTCTATTTAAATAGATGCTTCAAACGTTTCTACAATACAATAATGATTAGACTACGGATTTTGTGCACTTATGGCAAAAGTGATTAGCTAAAATATAAAATCGTGGAAACGAAGGAGCAATTTAATAATATCGTTACACTATTTTCAACTTATCAGGATTATTATTAAAAGGAACAATTTATATTTGTATTTAACTTCCGTTTCTCGCGATCGCCTTGGAAAATTATTATTATTTTGCATAAAGGTAATCGGTAATTCGAGCACGCTGTGTAACAATCGTTCGCGTGCCATCGGACGAACGTTAGGGGAGTGTCTGTACGGAAGCGTGCTTGATGACGGAAAACTGCTGCACAACATATGTAATATACAGGGTGGTCGATTATTGGCGGTACACCCAAAGGAAGGGACGATTCGAGGAAAAAACGAGTCGGAAGTTTGCGATAAGATTTGTTTCAGTGGAAAATCGAACGTTGTCGAAATTATTTAAATTTCGTCATACACAATTTCCATTTTGTTTTGTTCGTTTGCTTTATTAAGTGTTCTATTTTTATCTCCACATCCTGGAAAAATTAAACGATTGATCAAATTTGATTAAATTTAATTGAATTAAATTGCACGATTGAATGTGATTAAATCTAATTCAATTTAAATTACGCTGTTGCATTTGATTAAATTGAATTGAATTAAATTACACGATCAAATCGGATTAAATTTTATTCAATTAAATTACACGATTAGATTTAATTCAATTAAATTACTCGGCTAAAAAGTTAGATTTTTCTATTATCGACCATTTGTTACTAATCTTCGTACTTCGATTTTCGCTGTAAACATTCAATAATCATTACTCTAAAACGTGAAACGAAAATACTGCGTTATTTTCGCACGAAAATCGCCTTCGAACGAAGCGAACTGACGCTTTTCAGCCGATTTATCTGCTCCGTGAAACAAAAAACACCAAAACTCGAGACAACAGATCGATCAACGAACTTTCGACTCGTTTTTCCACCCTCCATCTTCTCGACGGCTGCGCCGCGAATCCCGCGACGCCCTGTACACCTGTAAATAACTCTAACGCGCTAATCTACGAATTAATTGTCGTTTAGTGTATTTACCCCGTGCGCGCGCACACGTGCATACACACGTTGGACCTAAATAACTCGCCAGGACGACCTAAATAATCGTAAATGTTCATCGAACCCGTCGCCAAGGCGGCCTTCTCGCATTCAGTTCCCCGTCGCTCGTCGGAAATAAAGAAAAAGAGAAACGAAGAAGAAGAGGAAGCTGTCTCTGTGAACGTGTTCTTCCCTCTGCTCGTCGACCGCGTCGAACGTAGCGTCGAACCAGAAGCCTAAGTTCGTTGTGAAATTAACACTTTCGCCGCCGGCACGGTCCCCGGCGACGTTTCACCCGAGAACTTCTCCCCCGGGAAAACGGATTGCGGAAAACGGATGCGAAAAAAGCAGCGTCGTTCGAAGAAAGAACCGCGTATAAAATCACGCGTTTGAGTTTAACAAGAGCAACATGAAATTGTACAGACACAGGGACGAGCGTATTCCGCGGGCTGCTTCCGACGACACTCGAGACGAAACAATATCAATCGATAGCCAACTATTTTTCAATTAATGTGACAATCTTCGACGGTCTTTGGTTCACTGCCAGCGCCGCGATCTCTCTCGCAAAGCAGCAGCCGGGCGTTCGCAACGACGCCGAGCACGGCACAAGCATCGTTTCGTTAAACGCCGGAACATCGGCGTGGTTGAACATCGTCGTCCGTCGCAGGACCGTCGTTCGCGAGTCGCTCAAATTGTCGTCCGTCTCGCGATAACGAGCGTTCGTTTCGCACGTCGGGCGAGAAGGTGCGCGACGGCGAGGCGAGGCGAGCGAAGTGTTAATTCCATCGAGAGTTCGCCTGTCGAGGATCGCGATTATCACGTTCGTCGAACCTTTCCAGCTCAGTCACCGGATCATTTACTCTGTAAAAAAAAACTAAACTAAAGTAAACTAAAGTAAAGTAAACTAAATGTTTCGTAGACGTAAGATATCGGCGACGAATAAAAGTACAGTAAGGCGCGGATCGGCGCGGCGACGCGTCGCGAACGGGCGACGGAACGGGGACGAGGCGTCGTCCGTGTATTTATTCATCGGGACCGGCGACAGTGTGGGGAGACTTCGCGAGGGACTTCGCGGGAGACGGTGGAGGAGAGAAGTCCGCCGGCGGAAAACCGTCGACCGCGGCGATGTCGTCGCGCCGATCCGAACCGCGAACTAACCCGGAGCTTACTGTAATTCTAAGATCATTTTGAGCGCACTCCCGCATAATTAGAGTTTAAGCGCGGACACGATACATATCCTCGACACACGCATGATCTTTTATACTGTAAAAGTCGATTTGTTGTTGACGCCCACGCGGCCGCTGACTTTTTTTTTCTTTTCGTTTCGGCTCGTCGAATAATTTTGAGGCCGCGTCGAATCGATGCCTCGTCGCACGAACATCGATATCATCCGCGAGAACACTGTCTGTTTAAATGCGAACGAATCAGGCGAGACTTCATTTCTCGAACCATCGTTCCTCGCGACTGCCTGTTGTTGCGTTATGTTCAACGTTTTGTAGCGATTTTACCTGTTGCCGGCGATGCAATGCGCGAATGTAATATGTTGTTAACGATATGGACGATCAAGGAGGAGCCGCGTTCATTTCTTTACGAATGACGACAAACGACG